AGCCTGTGGAGGAAATTCAGTTTATTATAATGAGTTGTTTAATTTTGTTTTTGTTTTTTAAGTAGTTAAATTACGACTTCATGTTTGCCCTGTGGGGTCTACCTACATCTCTGACTATAGTCCTCAGGAGTTTAGTTATGACCCAGAATATGAGTAGACCTTTATTATCATGGTGCAATGGGAATTGTTTAAAATTTATTTTTAGACCAGACTCTTATCTGAGCCTCCTGGGGTTTCCTGACTACACCTGGGACCATCTGTGGGCATCATCATTAATGCAGCTTAAATGCATCCCACACTGGCTCTCTTGATAAGCACAACTCCTTATGCGACTGAATAGCTTTATGTGTAGTTTTTCTTGTTTGGGTCTCATTCAATTTTGGATGCTGTCTCAAAGCCCAATTATTTCATATATTGAATCAGTATCATCAAGGTCCAGTAAGGACACTAAAATCCATGCTAGGCAATTTCATTGAAGAAATTTAATATGGGGAAACAATTAGTTGCAAAAGTGTTGGAAGAGCTGAAAATAAGTGCTAGCGAGGCTACTCAGAAAATAACAACTAAAAAAAGCTACTTCCAATCTGGGAATGGTGGTGAATGCCTATAACCCCAGCTAATTGGGAACTGAGGCAGGAGGCCTCAGTTCAAGGCCATCCTGGGCAATTTAGTCAAACTCTGTATCAAAATTAAAAAAAAAAAATCAAAAGGACCAGGTGTATAGCTTAGTAATTGAGTGCTTACCTATCATGTCTTTGCAAAGTCCTGGGTTTTCCCTGGTATAATAAATAAATAAGAAGTTACTGCCATCCAAGGAGACTGAGAGGTAGGGAAGAGATGATGTTTTCAGCATAGGGACCAGGGCTGTGTGGTGGAAGCTAGAACCATATAAAAGTACCACCTAAAAGAAGGCAGAGGCAGGACAGAGGTTTCTGGGTGGGAACTAGAGCCCAAAGGGTAGGGCTTCCAGGCAGGAGCCAGATCCTCAGCCTCTGCAGGATATGCTCTCAAGGCAGAGAGGAAAGGAATACCCCCAGGTTCTCCCCAAACTCCCATCTCCTGCCGGGATCTCCCACTGGCTGTACCTAATCTGTAGGCAATGTAGGCAATGGGCAAGGGAGTCTGAAAAATGGAGACTCCCGAACTTCCAAAGCAGGAAAGGACAAGGAATGTATTTAACAGGAAAAGGGGCAAGAAAACAGGCAAATAATATGTGAAAGAATGGGAAAAAGGAAGACAAATAACCAATAAACAGAAAAATTGCTCAACCAGGGAAATACAATTTCAAATGGGGAAATACAATTTCAAATGGGGCAACACAATTTTAAACCACAGATTTTATTTTTTTTTATTATTTTGTATCAGGATTGAACCCAGGGCTGCTTAACCATTAAGCCACATCTCCAGACCTTTCTAGTTTTGATTTTGAGACAGAGTCTCACTAAGTTGCTGAGGCTAGCTTTGAACTGGCAATCCTCCTGCCTCAGCCTCCTGAGCAGCTGGGATTACAGGTGTGCACCACCATTTCTGGCTAAACCACAGAAATTTTTAAATGCCATATATTGATGAGGATGATTAGTAGCGAGAATATTTGTGCATACAAATACATTGGAAAATACATTTGCACTGTCTTATAATGTTGATGCTAAACATACCCTGGACTCCAGGAATTCCATTTCTAGAAACATACCCTTAGGATATATTTTATAATTAAAAGCATAACTACAGAGGCCCTTAAAGTTCATTTCCCTTCCTCCCTAGTTATCTTTTGAATGCAACTCATCCAAGGACATCCAGTCCAGCACTTGAAGACCTCCCTCTCACCCAAGCCCCTTTCTCCCTCTTTTAAATGCCTAGACTGTTGTCTATGCCATTTATGAGACATCTTCTATTTATTTATTTATCCTTCCATCCAGCAAATGATGCCAAGTACTAGGAGCATCCAAATCAAAAGCAGACATAGTCACTGCCTTCACAGAGCCTGCCGCCTGGTGAGGGAGAGAGACAAAGGAGCAAGCACAGAAATCATCTAATCCAGTTGCTAAGTGCTAACAGGAAAAAATGTGGCCTGCTTTGAGCACCTGTTACAAAAGAAGCTCACCTAGACTATTCAGTCCAGAAAGATAGATTTCTTTGAGACAGTAATATTCAAGGTGAGATCTGAGGGATGTTCTGAATAGTACTTTCTATTGTCACCATTGACAATAATTAATTATTGAGGTTCTATAACCTAGGTGGAGTATAAGCATACATGTCTCTAAAGAAAAACATTAGCAGGAGGGAGTACATATTAAATGCCAAGTGAACAAAATGTAAAATATTATACAGATGTTTGGAGGAGGGATATTCCCTAAGGCCCTTTGGAGAAAGGTTTATATAAAAAGTGAAACCTGGGCTGGGGATGTGACTCAAGCGGTAGCACGCTCGCCTGGCATGCGTGCAGCCCAGGTTCGATCCTCAGCACCACGTACAAAGATGTTGTGTCTGCTGAAAACCAGAGAATAAAACATTAAAGAACATTCTCTCTCTCTCTTAAAAAAAAAAAAAAGTGAAACCTGAGTGGAAACTCACAGGAAGGCAAAACTAAGACAAAGAGGGGCGGGGAGAAGACCTCTCAGATATGAGTATCTGGCCAGAGGTAGGAAAAGGCAAGACAGTTTCAAACAGGTCACTGGAACCAAGGAATAATGTAGAAATGAAGTTAAAAAGTCATGGGTCAGATCATAGAGGGACTTGCTTTATCTTGGATGAAGTTTTCTTTTTGTATCATGGTGTGAGACTCTCAAGCCTAGAACCCCTACTCCTCAAAATAAAAAGTGCATTTATAAAGCTACATAGAACTTGAGGGGTCCACAATCCCCCTGAACTCGAAGTTGGGAACTCCTGCTGTAAACAAATAGCGCTAAAAGGTTTTGAGTAGAACAGTGGCATGTTGCAAAGTGTTTAGAGAGTCCCTTGCCAGAGAGGATAATGACTGTGGGCAGTGAGGTCAATTGAGAAACTATTGCAATATGAGATAATGCAAGCAGTAGCCCAGATGGCCCCAGGCTAAGGTGGTGACTATAGGAATTCTTTCATTAATTAAACCAAAATTTAATGACAGCTTCCTCTTGGACAAGCACTGTTGTATTGGGGACATTATAATGAATAAGATATGACCACTCACTTCAAGGAGCTGAAAGCTGGGCAGGATCAGAAAGAAAAGCAAGCAACTATAATGTGTGTGTGTGGGGGGGGGGGGGAGGCTGAATAATGAAGATTCTCTCTTTTTTTTTTTTTTTTTTTGGCAGGATGGAGAGGGTACCAGGAATTGAACTCAGGGGCACTTGACCACTGAGCCACATCCCCAGACTGATTTTAGAGACACAATCTCACTGAGTTGCTTCACGCCTCACTTTTGCTGAGACTGGCTTTGAAATCGTGATCCTCCTGCCTTAGCCTCCCAAGCCACTGAGATTACAGCCATGAGCCATGGTGCCCAGCCCAGGTTCTCTTATGCAGAATTTTCCACTGACTCTTAGAGAATAAAGTAAATAAAGTGACAGTCTTCAGTGTCATAGTCAAGGCCTTTCACAAAACAGCCACAACTTGCCCTTCTGCTGTCTTTTCCACTTAGGCTGTCACCACACAGCTTTCCTTCCTTCCTTTTTGTTCCCCCCTTCTCTTTCTCATGCTAACACACACACACACACACACACACACACACACACACACACACGCTCTGCAAGGCAGCTGCACTAGACTCTTCATTGTCTTCTGATCTTGCTTCACATTTCCTGTCTCTGTTTTGTCACTCTTTTCCTCTCATCGACTGTACCTGATCAAATTCCTACCCATTTAGACATGGAGCCTTTCTTGAAACCTGGTTTGATCTCCCCATGCATTTTGCCCAGAGTTACTGTATGGGCCTCATTCTCCCCTCAGTACTCAGTAAGCTCAATAGGAAAGGGATGTTGTTTTCTCATCTTCCTATTTCATGATGTGCCCACGTTTCTGTAATGGTGTTTGCTATACCTACGAAACTAAAAGGCCAGAACTTGGGGAGAGGACAAAGCCAGAGTAGGTTTGAAACCTTGATAGCTAGAATCAGGAAAGGCAACCTAGACACATTCTTATAGAAACCTTTGGGGAACGGGGAAGGATACCATCCCATGAACATATCATATGCTCAGTAAACATGGGGTTTAAAAATACAAGACATTTACATCCAAGCATCTTAGGCAATTAGGCATTTTTCCTATTTAAGAGAGCAGTGTCTACAGGGAGACAGTACATGGGACCTGAAATTTCAGATGCTGGGTGCCAGACTTTCACATTTCTATTGGATTACTGTGAGATTATTAAGAAAAGAGCTTGCTTGAAAGGCTAAGTATTTTAAAAACCTAAATCATCCTTAGAAGTATTACAGAGTCACTGCGCTAACTTTTGCTGTTAATCAGCAATTGCAGGGTCAAACTATAGTGTACCTTATCTCACCTTTGTTTGAACTATCAAAATACCCAAGACGTTGCCAAGGACTACTGAATTCTTTGGCTTGGCCACAGAGGCCACACGACGAGTGTGCATTTTCCCCGTCTGTAGTGGGAGGGGATGTGCGTGCCTTTCAGCCCAGTCTTAGAATGAAGTCATCTCTGACTGCGGTGCTCTGGATGGAGGGCAAGTTCCTAAATTGTTCCAACTCATTCGGCAGAAGAGTGCCATTTCCCAGCGAGTGTCGCATCTCCCCAGTTTGCAGATGAAGAAGCACGAGCCTGGACCCCCTAACTCTGCGGCCGGGGATGCACGGCCTCTTTCCCTTGAGGAGCACTTCCCGCCTTCTTGCGGTCGCAACCCCTCGCAGGTGTCAACAGCTGCCTCCCCGGAATCCTCCTCCCTCCCCGCCACACCCCGCCCGGCCGCGCCCCACCTGCCCCACCGCGCCCGGGGACGGAGGAGACGCAGTTCTGATTGGCCGACAGCAGAGGGGGCGGGGCCTGTGCGCCCGCGGGGGTTAGTGGCAACTTCACTGCCGAGGCAGGCTAGGCTCACCAGGAGGAGTGGGTGCCGCGTGCCCCAGAAGACCTAGTGGGACCGCTTGGGCCCGCTCGGCATGAGGATGCGCTGGGCGACCCCTCGCCACGCGGCGGGGCTCCTCCTGCTGCTCCTCTGGTGCTTCGGGATGGCGGAGCCTTCTGACCCTGCAGGTAACCGCGGGCGTGTCCGCAACTACCCCCGCTGGGGGCCTCGACGCTGCAGGTCTGCCCACTTTCCTCCGCCTGAGTCAGGCCAGAGCTCGGGAGTCAGGTCACCGTTGTTCTGCTTTGGGGTCTGGAACCGACGAGGAAGTGTGGCGGAGAAAATGCTCTATTGCCCTCGGGGGCCGGGAGGAGGGCGCGACTGGGCGTGAAAAGGCAAGGTCTTTCTGGTGTTGAGGGGACCTGGATTTACCGAGGGGAGACTCAGTATTTTCTGGGAGCTTTCTCTGCCCCTTTCTCGCCTACCTTTCTCTAAAATGTTGCTTCCCTGGGGTATGGAGTTCCCCATCTCCTACAGGCTATCCCACCATTCTCTCGCCCTTTGGTCACCTTAGCCCCTCAGTGGCAAAGATGAGGTTCCACCACACCCCAAGGATTCTCACGAATTCCCTGACTTCAGTCCACTCACGGTGCGCCTCAAAAAGGAAGTCAGGTTAAGACTTCTTTTCCAAAAGTGACCATGACCAAGAGTCAGTTGTGATGCTCTCTCCCATCGCCTGGAGCAGTGACCCTTTCTTCAAATTGGCTTATCAACACCAAACGACCCCCGCGCCCACACAGGCCAAAGGCATCCAGCTAAAGCGCTTGGAAACCCACTGCCTCTCACTAGGTAACAGACTTTTGCCCATTGCTAATAATGCTGAGAGTGGTGCCAGCCTCACCATCTCCCTTGGTACCAACTGGACTTTGCTTTTACTTTCTCTTTGCCTTGGCAAAGGGTGTGCCTAGGACTTTGTTTCTTGGTTGGGCTGCATAATGGGCATTCTTTGGGCAGTCCCCACCCACAACTTCTACAGTCTTTCATGTATGAGGAAGGAAAAGATTATCAAGACAGCTTTTTAAAACCATGAAGTTGATTGTGACTTTTACTTTCTTTGCAGCTAAGTTACTATCTGGTTTAAACTTTATTCGAAGAGAGATGGTAAGAGGTTTCTCAGAATGGCATCATTCTGTCTACATCAAGGGCCTTTTAAATGGACCCGGTTCTGACACTCTTTTCCATTCTCCTTTAGCCTTCTGTGCTGGGTCAGAAGAGCTATGAATAAGGCAATCCTTTATTGCTGTTAGAATTCTACTCTGCTTGCCCCACAATCCAAATCTAACTGCAGCAACTAACTGCAAACACTAGCCTTTCAATTGCTCTCCTCTTGGCTTCTTCATATACCTGCCTTGGTTCTATTTTGTCTCCTCCACAAAATTCAAGGTTTTTACAATCTACAGTCCCTGTTCTATCCAAGCCACCCAAAACAAAGAGAACCCAGCTTAACTCTATTCTCCCTGAACTAGGTCCCCACAAATATTTTTTTTTCCCTGCATCATTTCCTCACTCCTAGCTGCTGCTCTGGGTGGTTTTCTCTAACCTTCAGACCAGACTTATGGTCTTATTAGGGGAAGCACTGGAATTTTGAACACTCAGCCATTTGGGTAGCTTGTTTGGCAGTGTGTCAGCTTCAGGATGCTAGTGATGGTATTCACCTCATTACATGTATACCGCTAGGCTTGGGCAGGTAGTCTTGGTCACCCAAATGTTGGAGGAGAACTCTGTGTCCTTGAGGAGATGCCAAGAGCTTAGTTTACTTTTTTTTTTTTTTGCCTCTTTGGAGAGCTAACAGCTTGCAGTAAACCAATCCTTCAGGGACTCCTGAGGTTCTCACCAGTCCACACCACAGAGTCCAGCCTTGATGACTTTTTGATGCCTAATATTTTGCTATGGACCAAAATGATGTTACTTCAGGACCTGTTTTTAAACTAAAAAACCAAGACTTCTGATTCTTTCCTACTACACCTGTATGCTCTGCACATTTGGCAGAGACCACAAAATGTTTAACATTGAATGGAGAAAGTTCCCTTGAAATTATCAATGCCATGATCTTTATCCTTCCTGTCATCCCAAGCCATTTCCCTCTCCATTGATCCACAGTTATAAAATGTTGTCATGCAGCTTCTCTGCCAAATCCTCAGAGCTCTTTGTTCTAGGGCCTGTAAGTCAGGACTTACTTAGTGATCAAACAACAAGAAAATGCCAAGAAGAGATGGTTTTCCTTTGATGTATATAAAAATACTAAAATCTCACTAACAATTTATGATAATTCTACTTATCCATTTTCTCTCAAATACCACTAGAGTATTTATATAAAATTATATAAAAAGTGAATCTAGGAGTGATCAGTCTTCTTTTTATCAATCTCTGCCTTTTAGATTTGTCCCAATTTTATATTTGGAGAGAAACATGAAAATTCCATTGAAGACTGATGTAAAGTTGTAAAGTGAACAAGATAAAATATAAGGCTATCAATAATTTGTTTTATAAATCACTCTGTAATTACCTTTTCAAAGTGCAGTACATTTCTAAAATAGTTTATATGCCTTCATGTAACAAATTTCTAAATAAGGAATTCGTTTTTTTACACTCTTTCAGTTCTTCCCACTCTTCAACACACCATCCCATTGTATCAAAAGACTAAAGCAGATTGAACAGCTCCATAAAGAAAGATGGGGAAACTCATGAGAGAAAAAGATTCTCCTTAGCTAATGTATTGTTATGTATGTAATGTAATGTATGCTTATATACTATCTATGAAGTCTAATAACAAGTTTCCTCAAGTCATAATAATAATGACTCTCTGTGCTAAGTGATCTCTTTAAGTGTTGAAGGTTGGTGTTGGTATTAAGTACAAATTTGGTTCAAATAGGTTTAGAATGTGGCAAGTTTCTACAGTCAGAAATGTTGCAGTTTTTTAAGAATCTTGCCATTTATTAAGATGTTGTTGTTCTATACTAATCTACACCTCTCTTATAGTCTAGCTCCTACCAGGTTAAATCTGCAGGTGTCCCATAAGTAACACATGTAGAAGATAGGAAAGAGTAAAAAAAAAAAAAAATTTCGGGCTGAGGCTGTGGCTCAGCAGTAGCACACTTGCCTGGAATATGTGAGGTACTGGGTTCAATCCTCAGCACCACATATAATAAGTAAATAAAAAAAATAAAGGTCCATTGACTTTTAAAAAACATTCTCTTCCAAATAATTTTTATAAAGCAAAACTGTCATCAAACTGTACATGCCCAGTACAAGTGAAATTAGAATGACCCCAAGTACCACTAGCAGTAGTGTTACATAATAATATCGTGAGCATCTGTTCAAGAACAACATGTGATGAATTCAGCAAAGGCTAGTAAAACTTGCAAGGATGGGAATGTTGTTATCTGGTGGAAACATAGGATATTAGCTCTAGAAGTGGCTTAGATGTCTTATACTCCACTGCTTTCCTCTGATGTTTAGAGATATGAAGACCCTGGGAGATTAAATGATTTCAACAAGTTCTCCCATCTAACTGGTAGTTTTAATCTAGGACTTCTAATTCCTTGTTCCACTGGCCTTTCCGATATACTAAGACTTTTACCTAATCAATTGAATTCTATGAGGGCAGCTTGAAACACAGAACTCAACAAGCAAAAGAAGGCAAAGCTGCCATTTGCCTAGATCACCTGTTTGGGGTCAAGTGTCATAGAGCAGAGTGCCCAGAAAAGAGGACAAGACTACAGAACAGAAGAGAGAAAGTTTCCAACAAGGGTGGTAGCCATGCCTCCAGAGGAGCAGACTTCTTTTTTTGTGATACAATTTCTTATACTTTGGAACCCAGATTTATTTTGAAGAGGTGAGAGAAAATAGTTGGGAAAAAGGTAGATCAGGCATCTGCATAGCTGTTGAATATGTGGGAGAAGGATATTAGAGAAAGTATGAGTGGTCATATCAGAAGAGTACACTTTCCTTTTCTTGTTGACTCTTCTCCCCCAACCTGTGACCATCAGAGAGAATGGCTGAGGGATGTCAAAAAAGAAAGAGCACGAGAGAGATGCTGCTATAACGAGCATACCTAGTTGCAACCCTATGCAATGCTTTAAAATTCAAATTTGAAAGAAGAAATAATTAAAATCTTTAAAGATTTTTTTGTTTTGTTTTGGTTCCCCACCCTTGTTGTTCCTCTTACTGCTCTTATTTAGAACAAAAAAAAAATTCCACCCAAAGTTAAAAATGTAATCAGATTTTAACTTTATAGTTATTATTTACATTGTGAAATTTCCCCTCAAGTTGCCAGCCCTAGATATGTGAATTTTTAACTCTAAAGCTTGATTTATTTCCAGAAATAGCATTTGGTGTTAGTAAAACCAGTGATTGTGAAGAAGGCATCAAAATGAAAGTGCCTTTTGAGAACCAAATTTTTTCAGGTTCTTCTGCTGAATTCTGGTCCATTGATAATGATTGTTGAAGCTTGTCTAAAACATTTCAGCTTCACTTTCATCAACATGATGACGAAAGTATTTGTGCTAAAACTTTAATTTCTTTTCTTTGTAAAAGGACTAACCAAATCGTTCAATTATTGTTTGTTATAACAGATGTGACTCTTGCTCCACAAACTCAGGTGTGTAAAAAAAGATGTGTTCCTATCTTATCAGGATAATCTAATTAAATTTGACTCTGTTCCCATTCTGCCAGGCTGTCAGAACTTTAATTGCTGTCATTGTTGGGGTCTTCTTCAGCTCAGGATGGTCACCAGGGGAACATTCAGGAAGGCTAATGCTTTGGTCTTCTGTTCCCACTGGTTACTTCTCAGTTTCCCTTTGTCCAAACATGCTGGAACTTGGTGGCTCAGGTCACTCCTGGACTCATGATCCAGTCTTCCCAGGTAATCCACATAGTTAATCCCCTAATCTCTCCTCAGGTCCCATAGGGCCGATCACACATTCCCCCATCCTCAGAACCCAGACCTCTTTTATTTCCTCCAGCTCCTTCACCCCACTATTCTGACCTCTTAGAAATCTCCTCTCTGAAACACCTCAATGAATCAGTCTTCCACAGAAGGCTCAAGGGAGGTGGCCTTTAAGCAAAGACTCCTTTTGTGTGGCCTCACTCTTTTGCCATAAAGAGGGGAGCACAGAGGCCTGACTTCATACTTAAACTGGGGAAAGAACTTAAAAGTGAGAACAAAGCTTTGATTTCTCATCTACTAGTTTTCCCTGCCATGCCAGCAAAAGTGTAAAAAGACAGAGTTTTGGTCCCTAATAGACTCAGGATATTTTTCATTGACCACAGACTACCTGTCTAGGTAAGATGAAAACTAAGGAGCTTCTTTATCCTATTAAACAGGATCTGGGTGGGGGTGGGGATTCTTTCACAGACTAGCAGGAACAAATACCCAAACTACTCTCGGCTTTACTTGTATTGATTCATTTTATCACATTCACAGTAGAAAATAGGTACTGTGTTACAAATGAGAAAACTGAAATACTGGTTGAATAATGTGCCCTGATCTCATGGCTAATAAGTAGCAGTAGAGACAGAATATGATCCCAGGCAGCTGGTTCTACAGACTGGCTCTGCTACACACTGAACTGCCTCTCCAGCCATCTGTGTCCTTCTTCTTTGTGTTGGACATTACAGTTTATCAAGTTGGGAGGGTGGGAGCAGTCTAGTAGTACTCAGAACTATTGTCAGCAAGCAGGGAAAAAGACACATTGGCCACATAATTCCAAATCCTGAAATGTCTTTTTTCACTGCCTGTCTTTAATGCAGGTAATCATCCATTCACCATCGTCAATGAAAACACAGGCAAGTGCATCAAGCCACTAGTTGGCTGGATAGTAGCAAAGGATTGTGATGGAAGTAAGGACATGTTATGGAAATGGGTATCCCAGCATCGGCTCTTTCATTTGCAATCCCAGAAGTGCCTTGGCCTAGATATTAACAAACCCATGGATTCCTTGAAAATGTTCAGCTGTGACTCCAATGCCATGCTGTGGTGGAAATGTGAGCACCACTCTCTGTATGGTGCTGCCCAGTACAGGTTGGCTCTAAAGGATGGCTATGCCATAGCCAGTACAAACACATCTGATGTCTGGAAGAAAGGAGGCTCTGAGGACAGCCTTTGTGACCAGCCTTATCATGGTGAGTACTGGAGAGGGACTTGGAGCCATTTGCTGTTGTGCTTATTAACTGTGACACTGAATATGCACAGTCAAATAAAAATGAAGTCATATGCTGGTAAGGGCAGTGAGCAAGCTATTTGGGTCCAGGCACTGTGAGTTTCATTTTTACCACATACGTGTAAGGTCGGTGGTATCTGACCCACCCCTACCCCTTTATGGGCAAGGCTAGGAGGGGTCAAGTGCCTTTTCAGAGGTCACATAGCCATATTGTAATGAGCCTGGGATATGAAATCTATGTGATGCCTGACTCCTATGATGACATGCTGAACTCTAGGAGAAAGGAAATGTTAGATTAATAGGAAACTCTTCCTGCTGATAAAAATTTAATAATGTTGATGTTATAAATGAAAAAAGAAAAAGAAGTGTATTTTTCCTTGTCTACAGGTTTTGAGACAGTGGAAATTTTTTAAAGTCTCATGTGTGTTTTTCATTTTCATTTTTGGCATGGCTGTCATGTTGATGTTTTTATTTATGATTAAACTTTTTTAAAAAATATTTTTATTAGTTGTTGATGGATCTTTGTTTTATTTACTTATTTAGATGTTGTGTTGAGAATCAAACCCAGTGCTTCACACATACTAGGCAAGCACTCTACCACTGAGCCACAGCCCCAACCCCTATGATTCAACATTTTAAGAGTAAACTTTTTCTTGGTTGCTTCCAAAAATAAGTATATGAATATTGCTATAGTCTTTGCTCTGAGTCTCAAAATGAATTTCTAAGTTTAGAAAAAATAAGTGAATGTATTTTTTAAACTACTAAATGTGACTAGCTATCACCCAAGCAAATCTTTTTTTTATCATGTTGCTGTAAATTAATTGAATGTTGATGTACATATATAAATAATGTGTGTGTATATGTGTGTGTGTGTGTATAAAATCATCTAAATTCTATTATCTTACTCTTGTCCTACTTTTTAATTTCGATTATGATTATGATTATTTTGGTACCAGGAATTGAACCCAAGGGTTAAGAGTCACAAATTTGTAAGATGAGGTGTTTACATGGAAAACAAATTTCTTCAGTAATGTAAGATAAAATAGCTTCAGTGGTTAAAGAGGTTGGCAGGCTTCTGACAGTTGCTCAACCCACTCCTTTTTTATATTTTATTTAGAGACAGGGTTTTACTGAGGCTTGCTTTGAACTTGAAATCCTTCTGTCTCCACTTCCTCCAGCCACTAGGATTACAGGCATGTGCCACTTTTTTTTTTTAAAAAAAGTCTCTTGTCCTTTAAAAAAAAAAAAACTTACATAGCTTTGCAGAGGTTTTCCCCTTCTCTAAAGCTCTTTTAAATTAAATTTGGCCACAGACTCAGGATAGCAGCAACTCAGGGAACTTCTTTCTGTTTTCTGGTGAGGATCTAGATATTCTGAGAATGTCTGGTTCCACTATTAATGGAGAAATAATACAGACTTAGAGATTGGGGTTTTCCTTCACTTCAATCCCCAGCCTTTGAGTAGTTGAACAAATCTGTTTCTGCTAGCCAGATTCCTCCTAAACTTAAAAGTGGTTACTTAAACTTAAAGCAATTATCAGCTGTAACCCTAGTGACTCTGGAGGCCTAGACAGGAGAATCACAAGTTCAAGGCCAGCCTCAGCAACTTAGCCCTAAGCAACTTAGTGAGACCCTGTCTCAAAATAAAAACCATTTTAAAAGGGGGCTGGGGAGTGTAGCTCAATGGTGAAGTGCCCCTGGGTTCAATCCCCAGTACCAAAAGCAAAACAGGATTCCATTTCCCAAATATAGTGTGTTTATTTCTCCCTTAGCTTATGCAGTCTAAAAAGATTTTTGCTTGTAATATATTAAGATTATTTATAATGTGTCTTAGGTTGCCTCTTCCTTCAACCCCTATCCTGTTTGAGTTATGTTCATATCAGAGGAAGTTTTAGTGGTATAAAATTTTTGAGTAAACTGCTTTTGACTAGCACTTAGATATGAATTTATATCACAAGCTCTCATTCCAAAGAATGGACTTTTGGTAGAGAATTAGATGTAGAACTGTGTGAACTATCTGAGCTTTTGAGCAACTGTCAGAAGCCTGCCAACCTCTTTAACCATTGAAGCTATTTTATCTTACATTACTGAAGAAATTTGTTTTCCATGTAAACACCTCATCTTACAAATTTGTGACTCTTAAACAATAAGCTATTGTCTTAAGGATGCTATCACCCTAAAGTCACACATTCAGAGAAGACTCTTCTCAGGAAAGCCTGTCTTGCTAAGAAACCCCATGGATTCAAGAGTTCCCGCCATAGCAAAACGTGTGGAAATCAAACTCTCAGTGAGCATCCTTTAACTGCCTCAATGGTGGTGGTTTGCTTCTCCAAAGCATTTAGTGACTGGGAGCCCTTTTTTAATTTCTTTTTTAGTTGTATATAGACATAATACCTTTATTTTCTTTCTTTATTTCTACCGCTGAGCCACAATCCCAGCCCGTGACTTGGAGCTTTTTAATGAAGTATAAGCTTTGAGCTCTACTATGTGACTTGAAACCTGAGAGGACAACCATTGGTATCAAAAGTTTTGCTTGTATGTCTCTCTCATCAGAGAGGCCAGTCTCATCCCCATTGCTCATAGCTGAGTGATTGGACATTTTACTTAACTATTCCACAAAAATGGGGATTTCACAAAAAAAGCATAGTATTACATACTGATCTCTCAAGCTTATGGTAAAGAGCATTTAAAGAAATGATCTTTATTTAAATGTATATGAAAGAACTTTGTGTGACAGATATAAAGGTTTTAGAGAAAAAAAAACACATATGCTCCTACAAGTCATAGTCATGGTGTTGGGGAACTGTACTCTGGGTATTATAATAGAAAGGGAAACGAGTCATGCAATCCTGGGAGTTTTTGGTGTGGTCAGAAACAAACCATATAATAAGCAGAATCCTTATAAAACATAAGGTCAACATACTCTTTAACAGAAGGAACCAGTTCAAAGCCATTTATGTGACATAGGAAAACAAAATAATGATCCTTAAAATATTTTTTTTGCAAAGAAAAATGCCTAGTACTTTTATTATAATGCTGCTTAATACATTCCAAATTTAAAAAGTTTCACACTTTAGTCAGATGAACACTTGAGAATGATAGAACACTTGAGGATGATAAGGGATGTAGAATCAAATACCATCTTAAGCACACTTTTAAGCAAATCTGTGAGACATTTCAAGGGACCCTAATAGCTTGAGATTTGATGATTATGCTTTATTTAATAGTCTTTATTCGATCCGTTAATGACCAGAGTTTTAAACAAATCGAGAATATAGAAAAAGGTAACAGAAATAGATACAGGGTTAAGTGTCCTATAGAAATACTTTTTCAAGAGAAATATTATTGACCTAAGCATTAAGCACTCCCTGTAGCATTTCCAGGCATATTTGTGGTTGAAATAATTTTTTCAGTACTTCTCTGAGTATTAGGGAAAAATTATTAAAATATTAAGCTAGATCTGCTACCTTGTTGGCCACCAGTTGGTCTCATGACTTCCCTATTAAAGCCAGTTCTTCTTTCTTTTTTAACATAAGTTACTGTGCCTTGCTCTTCCCCAAGAATCTACTCAGGAACCCAGCCGTTCTTCCTTTATTTCCTGAGAAATAAAGTCTCAATTCTATCAAGCAGTGGGCTGTTTGTCCATCTAACTTCATAAGTAGTTCAAAAGTCCATACACACCCTCTATGATGCTAAGATATTTTTCTGCTAAGATATTTACACTTAAGTTAAAAAAAAATGGAGGTGAATTGTATCTCAGTCATGGTACACTTTTGATAAAGTACTCTGCCACCCATAGTAGAGTGACCCTTAAGCCAGGATCTTTTAGTGTTTTGTCACACAAAAGAATCCTTACACAGATTATTTTACCAAATTCTGCATTTGTAAATGCAGAAACTAAACTTGCCCATAGTCACAGAGGGGACCCCAGTCTTCAAGACCAAACGTGAACAGTCAGCATCATGCTCTTTCTTCTCTGTGAACCCCATTCAGATATTGAATTCCCATAAATGAAAACAGCCATTTCTTTAGAAACAATTGTAGGTATTAGCTAACCGAAAGTGATTATCCAGTTTTCAATTCTCCTTTCCTCAACTTCCTCCCCAACCCACAGAGGTATATACCAGAGATGGGAATTCCTACGGAAGACCTTGTGAATTTCCATTCCTAATTGATGGGACATGGCATCATGACTGCATTCTTGATGATGACCACAATGGACCATGGTGTGCCACCACTTTACATTATAACTATGACCAACAGTGGGGCATCTGCTTAATACCAGGTATGTGTGGGCTGGTGAACTTCATGAATGGAAAGAAGAGTGCCATTTATATGAGGTAAAAAGGAGAAGCAAGATGTCAAGATGACTCAAAAGTGCAACAAATATTATCCTAGATAAGGAGTGTATATTTGTAAGAAAAAAAGAGTAGTAAAATGTAGCTTTGAATTTACTTTCGGAAGCAGGTCAAGAAGAGAGCCAAGACAGCTTATAAAGTGAAAAATACCAGAGCAGGGGAGCATAGTTTCCAAGTTCCCAGTAAATGCTGATGATTTGACCTGTGAATCACACTTTGAGAATTACTTACTTAGATCAAGGCCCAGGTGTTTCAACACCAAGAATATACTGAAATATAAAAATCCAATATTTGCTCCAGTTGTAATTGATAACAAGCAGAGTGTGGCCAACCATGTAACTATTTTATTTAGTTCTCACTGTAGTTTGGGGAAGGAATTTCAAATGTTAAAGGTAGCTTAGAGGTTATCTAGTGCAAACCCCTGTTTCTCAGGTGAGAGGCAGCAAGCCCAGGCTGAAGGAAGGGCCTGTCAGGGTCAGACCATATTCATGTGGTGGAGAATTCAGGATTCCTAATCCTGAATTCCTAATCCTCATTCTCCAACATATACACCCCCCTCTATTTGATGCCTTGCCTGGGATGTGTCTCAGTGCCTTAGCCTGATGGGTCCCAGGGGTGGGAGGGGTTGTTATTGAATTTATATGCCTCCCAGAGCTACTTTTTATGAAAGAAGTAATACTGTGAATTTTCTTAACCCCAAGGATTGCTAAACCACAGAGGTGGTATTGCACGGCAAACACACTGCCATCCCACTGGCAGCAGGTTCTGGATTTACAATCAGAGGGCTTCAGTGGCAATAATGAACCTTTAGACAATGTTCTTACAAATTTTTCCTATTTTGTTTTCACCAAATGTCACAACCTTTGTTGCTGTGGAGATCATAGGAAAGTGTCTGAGGAGGCAAAGTGTGCCATTCAAAGAGCAACAAAAGGGATTGGTGCTTTGATGGTAGCTCTGCCACAAACATCTGTAGGTCTTTGTTCTCCTCTGAAATGAGGGCATCAACAAGAGGATCTCAAGGGCCTTTTCAGCACATAGGTGCACGAGGCTGCCATCTGATGTATAATATGGGAAGCCCTTTGGAAAGCCCCCCAAGTGGAGCCTGGGATACACATCACACAGCCTACACTGTTTTTTCTCCTCTTATTGGGAGCACATGAGAGACTCTAAGTTGTCTCAACACCTATATATTCATCCAGGAAACAGCTTGAAGTTTCTTTGTCTGAAAATATACATTACTTTATATATTTTTAAAAATATTTATTTATTTGTAGATGAACACACAGTATCTTTATTTATTTTTATCTGGTGCTGAGGATCGAACCCAATGCCTCATACATGCTAGGCAAGCACTTTACCACTGAGCTACAGCCCAAGCCCCTACTTTATATATTTACTAAAGAATATATGATGTATATTTTAAAAAGCACATACATATTTCTATACCTATGTATGTAATATAACTATGCATATATAAAGTGAATTATATTAAATATTTCATATATAACAAATTACATAATATTAATTATTTCATATATAGTGAATCACATAATATTAATTATATCATATATTCAACCATATGCTAAAATATTAAGAACAATCTTGGACTTAGTTTCCAAAATAAGAGTCCATATTTATGGACTGTGTTCCATATCTTAGCCATTTAAACGGCATGTCTGTGTATACACTTGAACACTCAGTGGTTTCTCTATAGGTCGTAAGCAAACCCTCTACCATCTCCCACCATGTTCCAGTGAGCTTGTTTTCCATTAGCTGAGCATTCCACACCTGTACACGTTGAGACTCCCACCTTCAAGCACAGGACAAGCAGGAGCACAGGTGAAAACATGGCATTGTAGCTGATAGGGGACAAAAGGACAGTGGCAGCTTTCATCAACCTGAATATTTGCTGTCCTCTGACTTCAATTTCATTATACCAAAAAATCAAAATATGGTCTAAACAAGCAATGGCAGTCTCTACTTTGGCACATCCTAAGAGTAAGCAAATTGAATTGCAGTATTGTAAGCAATAGAAAATGTTATGCCTTTACTTTATAGTCACTAAGTAATCTTTTATTAACAGAAAATGGCTGTGAAGGTAATTGGCAAAAGAATGAGCAGATTGGAAGTTGCTACCAGTTTAATAATCAGGCAACTCTTTCTTGGAAAGAAGCTTACATTTCGTGTCAGAGTCAAGGAGCTGACTTACTGAGCATCAGCAGTGCAGCTGAATTAACTTACCTCCAAGGTAGGTTTGACTTGCATGTCACAGAGAAAAATTGTTGAAATTGTGAAGACACTTCCTCCTTCTACTTTCATATCCAGGTGTGTTGTTTTGTGTGTATCTTTTCTGTCTTCTTTTGGGATTTAAACTTCAACACTGAAGTTGCCAAACTACTGAATGTAAACATATTCCATGTATTGAGAATGCATGTTGAGATGGAGACTAAAGAGACATTGATGCTTAGAAAACAGAGTGGAAGATTAAACTGCTACCTTAACCTAACCTTTTTTTATTTGAAAAAGTGAACAATAAGCTCTTTGAACACTGAAAAGTAGAAAATTTAAGGAAGGTAAGCAGATGGTTGGATCCTACTATCTGGCCTCAGTAAAAAATCCTCACATTCAAGTGGAGAAATTACAGTCCTCAAGGAGAAACAAAGAGTTTTAAGAAATCTTAAAGTGGATATAACACAGATGTATAGAATGGATAGAATTTTGTTTATAGGATGGTAGTGGTAATTTTTAAATTTTTAATTATGAAAATTTAAATTATATAGGTAAGAACAGAAAACTAAAAGAGATCATTTATTCTTTCATATGAATTTCAGGAACACCTTGTTAATTTCAGTGAAAACCCTATGAAGATTTTCATTGGAATTGTGTTGAATCAGATTAATTAGGATTAGTCTGTCTCTACATGAAGTCTTCTCATTTATAAAAATGGCATTTCTTTTCTCTTTAGGTCTTCTTTTATGTACCCAGTAAGATTCTGTAAATTTTCCCATCATACTCTTGGGAAAAAAAGCTAATAAACAGAAATTTTTACATTATTTTTTAAATCAGAAGAAATCTAAGTTTCTCAGTCTTAATAATTTATTCTCTGAATGAAAAAATAGTGATAACATATGATAACAATGTTCTAGCACATATTACTAAATTGTTTTCAGACATTATCTCATTTAATGCTGTATAGGAGCCCTAAGAGGCTAGTATTATTACTATGCTCATTTTGCAGATGAGGAATGTGAGGATCATAAAGGAAGTGTATTTTGTTCAATTTCACTTACAAATACATAGCACAACCTAAATTTGAATAGTCTGACTTGAAAACAAATTGTATTAGGTGTTCACCTTTTAGAAGACTGTAAGTTCTTTGTAAGCAGAGGTAGGTTATTGTTTTACTTTGGCACAAAACTATAAGCCTTACTGGCATATAATAAACAAATATCTATTTACTAAGTATTTCAGCTGAATCCTATCCCTGTGTTATAATGAATATAAATATTTAAATAAATGCTAGCAATGAACCAGGCTTGTCTCCAAAGAAGTTAATTATCAGTACACCCTAGCAAGTATCTTTATCACCAGATCAGGAAATTGATATTTAGAAAAAACATACCCAATATCACATAGCTAAGAAATACCAGAATTAGGATTTGAATGTCAGCATACGGAGCCACAGAGCCCTTAGTTTTTTACTATAATACTTTCTCTCTCTCTCTCTCTCTCTCTCTCTCTCTCTATATATATATATATATATATATATATATATAAACCTACATGTCTATCAATGGATAGTCCACTAGTCTTTTTTCATGCTTTTTGCCTAAAGCTTTATCCGGACCTCCTTTCTTACTTAGAACTTTATCCTTTTCTTTTATTGTCTGGGAGTTGAATAATCAGAACTTTAGAATAAAAATCTGTCAAATAAGCCTAATCGGTCAGTGTTTGGCAGTGGAATTCTATTACAGACTTCACTAAAGCCTTACAAAAAATAGCATTGAGAATCAAAAGGGCCACTAAAGTAAGCCTTCTAGAATATTGACTTTGGGAAAGTAATGACTTCAAGTGAAGGAAGAAAGTATAAAGAGTGACTCTCACCATCCTACCAAACGTCTGATGATGCAGTTGGAACAAGGAATGTTGTGTTGAGTCTTTATGCATCATGTTTCTTTGCTAACTTGCACAGAAGTGCATTAAGTTCTGTGAAGAACCTTAATGTCTCCCAACCCAGCAGTTACTCCCCGTAGTTTATGGATATCAGTAAATTTATAAGTTTATCTGTTTCTAATGTTCCAAGCTCCTCTTCTAGCATGATAGCTAAATAGCATATCAATAAGACTAATTATAATTGCTGGTTTCCCCAAGACCCTGGAGAAAGCTGGACTTTAACATCTAAAACTCAAGCATCCAAAGTAGTTTCTACCAAGAATCCCTTTAGGGCTGGGGTTTTGGCTCAGTGGTAAAGTGCTCACCAGCACATGCGAGGGCCTGAGTTCAATCCTAAGTACCACATAAAAATAAACAAATAAAATAAAGGTATTGGTGTCCAACAACAACTAAAAAAAAAGTAAATATTAAAAAAAATAGAATCCCTTTATAGGGAAGAAGGGAGGAAAAGGAAAGGTTCTGGAGAATGAGATTGATCAAATTATGTAATGTGCTTGTAGGAATATGGCCTAATGAATACCACTAATATGTGTAATTTTAATACACTGATAAAAATAAGCTTTAAAAAAGAATCCCTTTATTGCACACAGTCGTTTGAACTAGAAGTAATGAGGCCAACAAATGTGAATCAGAGATTCCGTAACCAAAGTGCTTGATCTACTTGGGGAGATAAGAGTTGTTGCTATGCAGAGCATATATAATGGAGTATGTTGTTCCCAAACAACTTTTGACTTTGGTAGATAATGGTGGGGTGAGACTAGGCAATCAACTGCCAGAAAAAAATGCAGAAGCACCCCCATTGAAGTTAAGTCTCATGCAGTCTAAAAGACTTTTCTTTTCGACTTAATTTTGTTTTGATTTTATTTTATGAATACACATTCTCCAGGGATAATATATTTGGTTTCTTTGTGCTCATCAGATTTTGCTGGGATTCAGATTTTCCATATCTCTGGCCTTGCCAGGACCTGTAACCAACTTATTTATGCTACTACATAAGAGAACCCAAGAATCCCCAGAGCAGGAACAGCACACTTCCATTCTTCCTAATTTGCCTCTACCCCAGGGGTTATTCACCTTACACCACTTTGACCAGTGCCCCAATGCTAGGACACTTCTAGATTAGGACCCCTGCTGGTTGTAGCTTTTTCTGATGCATTATAAGAGGTTTTTTGGCTCTTTTCAGACACATGACTATTATCAGGCCAGTCTCTCATTGTGGGAAAAGGAATAGAAGTGTACTCAGGTCTGAATAGGGGTCTTTGGAACAGTTAAGAAATAACCACCTCATAATGTACAGATTGAGAGAAAAAATTTTTCTCGCCTGCATCTTGCACAGGCAAGATAAACTGTGTTCTCCTGCATGTAGTGAGTTGGCTGCAAAATATTGCAAAAAATCACATGACACAGAAATAATTTTGAGAGATCAAAGGCAGGACAGCTCTGCGACCTTGAGTGTCCTGCTTCCACACTGGAAGGAGAGAGAGTGAGCCTGTGTTTTGAATTTTGATATGAGGGATATACAAAGGCTTTTCCATAGAATATTCTTCACCAAATAAGGCAGGGGGTGGGCTGTTCAAGTCCAATGGGTAACACCCAACTCCGGAGCTACAGAGCAACCTCTATAGCCTAGTGAAGACTGAGGTCGCAGTGCTTTGGGTAATAAGCCACAAAATGACTTACAATGCCAGACCAAAATCTCCTTGGCTTCAAGGCTGAGTAGAGGCTATGCTAATAGCTCAGAGGTGGCATCCCACCTATTTGCAAACTATATATCTCATAAAGGGTTAGTATCCATAACTTATAAGGAGTTTAAACAACTCAATAGCCAAAACAAACAAAAAACCCAATAATTGATTAAAATGGGGTAAAGGACAGGTACAGTGGCACATGCTTACAATCCCAGCGGCTCAGGAGACTGAGGCAGGAGGATCATGAGTTCACTGCCAGCCTCAGCAACTTAGTGAGGTCCTAAGCAACTTAGTGAGACCCTGTCTTAAAATAAGAAATTTTAAATGCCTGGGATGTGGCTCACTGGTTAAATGCCCCTGGTTTTAATCCCTGGAATGAAGAAAAAAATGGACTAAGACCTAAATAGAGCCAAGCATGGTAGTGCATGCCTGTAATCCCAGCAATTTGGGAGGCTGAGGCAGAGGATCATGAGTTCAAAACTAGCCTCCACAACTTAGCAAAGTCCTAAGCAGCTTAGCAACACCCTGTCACCAAAAAAAAAAAGCAAAATAGTCATCCACAAATGACATACAGATAGCCAAAAGACATATATAAATGCTCAACATCACTAGCCATCAGGGAAATGCAAATCAAAACCACAGTGAGATATGACCTCACATCTGTTACAATGGCTATTATCAAAAAGACAAAGAAGGACAAATGCTGGTGAGGATGTAGAGAAAGGAGAATACACTATTAAGGATGTAAATTAGCATAGTCATTATGGTAAAAGGCTTGGAGGTACCTGAAAATATTAAAAAATAGAACTCTCTAGCAATCGCACTGCTGAGTAGATAGCCAAAGGAAACGATATCAGTATGCCACAGAGAGATCTGCTCCCCTGTGCTGATCACAGCACTGTTCACAGTGGCCAAGACATGGAATCAACCTACATGTCTATCAATGGATGAAATGGATAAAGGAAATGTGTTACATATACACAATGAAATACTATTCAGTCATCAAAAGGATGGAGTCCTGTCATTTATGACACTGTGAATGAGCCTGTAGGACATTTTGTTAAGTGCAGTAAGTCAGCCACAGAAAGCCAAATACCACATGCTCTCACTTGTATGTGCACTCTAAAAGAGTCTCTCATAGAAATAAAGAGTAGACTAGTGATTACCAAAGGCTAAGAGAGCATTGGGGAGGTAGGGAGATGGGGGATGCAAAGATTGATCAATGGGTTCAAAGTTACAATTAAGAGAGATAAGTTCTGGTGTTCTGTTGCACAGTAGGGTGACTGAAGTTGACAACTGTGTATTGAATATATCCAACTAGGTAGAGGGGTCTGGGGTTGTGGCTCAGATAACTCCACAGCCTTTCAGCCTTCTCCTCAAGCGCTTGTCTAGCATGCATGAGGCACTGAGTTCAATCCCCAGCACCATATAAAAATAGAAAACAAACAAAGGTATTATGTCCATCTACAACTAAAAATAAATAAATAATAGGTAGAGAGGATTTGGAATGTTCTTATCACAGGAAAAGATAAATGTTTAAGGTTATGATTATGCTAACTACCCTGATGGTATATTTACATGATATGTACATGCATCAAAATATCACATTGAGCCTGGCATGTTGGCACACACTTGAAATCGCAGTGACTTGAGAGGCTAAAGCTTGCAAGTTTGAGGCCAACCTCAGCAAATTAAGTAGACTCTGTCTCAAAAATAAAATAAATATATGAATAAATAAAAAGGCTGGAGAATGTAGCTCAGTGGTAGATTGCCCCAGGTTCAATTCCGGTAACACACACACACACACACACACACACACACAAAAAAAAATATGTACAATTATTATATGTCAATTAAAAACAAATTAAAGGTCTGGGGTTGTGGCTCAGCAGTAGAGCACTCACCTAGCACGTGCGAGGCCCTGGGTTCAATTCTCAGCACCACATAAAAAAATAAATAAAATAAAGGTATTGTGTCCATCTACAACTAAAAAATAAATATTACAAAAAAAGAGAAAAAAATACCTACTTTAGTGGACATCCATTTGATTTAGGTATGGGATTTTATGCTAGCAGTCTGTCTTTAAATGGCAAAAGTCTCAAGTTGATCAATGTCTTATCTGGACTGTGTGTGGAATAAAAACTCTAGCTCCAGATTGTCCAAGCCATATAATAAATCTCTATTCTTTATAATTACCCTACCAGTACTTTTAGAATTTATCCATTTCTCATTGTCATGCACAGAGCAATAGACACCTTAAGAACATTTGTGTTTGCCAACACTATCACATTTTTAAAATCCTGATTCCAGTGAAGTCATCCTGATTCCAGTGAAGTACAGATCACCAAGAGTACACTATATTGAAGCAGATCAGGAGCACATCTGTGTCACAAAATCCCATGATGTAAATGTGTACTTGCCGTATGCAGATAAGTGAGAGGCGTGTTTAGAGGGAGCGACTGCTTCCTGCTGGAGGATATTGGAACAGACTTCGTGGAAAGCATGGAATTGAATTTGGGATGAATAGGAAGGATTTGTCCTCCATACTGTCCCTAGTGGAAACCAATGAAAGGAATTCAGAATACCAGGGTTGTGATTCAGTGTGGAGTACCAGAAATATGTCAGTTTCCAGAACCTCCGAGGAATGTTGGAAAATCCATTGCATTTATTAATAGGGAAAATTTTATATTAGATTAAATCTTCACAGTCTTTGCATGCCAGTGTGGGCAGCCCTTACATATGCTTATGTGTATGTGATCTGGTTGCCAAATAATAAATATGAATAATGTATGTCCACTCTTGTGCACACATAGGTGTATGTGTGTGTGTGTGTGTGTGTGTGTGTGTGTGTGTGTGTGTGTGTGTCTTCTGTTTCTCTAGCCTAAATGTTCTCTTGGACTCCAGAGCCATATACTCTATACCCTATGAAATACCTCCTATACATATTTCTGACCCACTCCAAAATGGTTCACCATGTGGAGGATTTGCATGTTTCCTTCTTTTAGATTAAAATTTTTATAAGGGCAATAATAGCTGGAAAATAATATGTACTTACTGAATCACACTATCAATCTAGAATGAAATCAGATCTTCAAAACCTAGATATACATGAAAAACTGCTTTTGATAAGTATTCTAAATCAGTACAAGAGAGTTAAAAATAGACTGTGAAACAGCTACTCTAAGAGTCTGTTTTTACCTTAGAAGAAAGGGTATTGGACAAGATAACAGGAAGCAGAATTGAGGAACTTACCAACCCTTGACCTTTTCCACGGTCTGAGGCTCTGTTGTCTATCAACATCACTCATCTTTGTTGCCTAGACATTCTCCTACCTGGATTACTGATACAATCAAGGCCTTCAGGAGGTTTGCTATTTATTGAAATCTAATCTGAGTTGGAGAATAATAACCCAGATAATTTTGTCACTTTTTAAAATTATATAATTTTTACAGGACAAGAAGGCATTGCTAGAATGTTCTGGATTGGATTAAATCAGCTGTACTCAGCTAGAGGCTGGGAATGGTCAGATCACAAGCCATTAAGCTTTCTCAACTGGGACTCAGGTAATTGTTCTTCCCCCACCCATTTTGCATACAGAGCAAAAGCTTCAGAAAACAAGGGCTTCTCACTCTCTGAGATCTTTTAAAAGTTTCAAGAACTGATAAATCTTGTGATTACTTCTCAGAATTTTTTTTCCCTAAACCAGAGTAGAATGAGCACACCACTTGGCCAGGAACCATTCTGGATCCCTTAGGGGTCTTGACATGTCCATGACTTGCCCATGTTATGTCCATCTACAACTTAACTCTAATGCAGAAATATTTCCTTATATTTCAAATCCTTGGGGTCTCCCCATTCTGGCACCCAAGTACTAATAGCATAATGGCTATATTTTATTACACAAATAAATAACACAAGGAAAATTTTATAATGATTAAAACCCTGTTTAGCCAAAAATATCTTTTTCCCCAAAAGAAAGAATGAGGTACCTTTTTAAAAATAAAATATAACAAGTGAAAAACCTAAAAGTTAACATTAATTTCAGTACAAAATATTCTGTTCATATATAAGGAAAATGGGTTAAGTACTTAAGTGTCACTTTAGTTAACTAAATTTTCTGATTTCTAATGAATTAACAACCTATTGTCTCAGTAAATAGAATCTTTAAGTATAATTTAATCTTTTTAAATAATATATATATATATATATTTTTTTATGGTGGTGACACTAATAATCAAACCTAGGGTCTTGCATATGCTAAGCAAACATTCTATCATTGAGTTACACCCAATCCTTAATTTATTTTTTTAAATTTTTAATTTAAGGTCTTAAAGGCATTACAAAATCATAGATTAATATTTTCATTATATAATAAATATAGATCAGCAATAAACATTTATTAGAGATTACCAGCCACAAGATATATGGCAAAAATTTTTATTCTTAGGGACAAGTTTGGTTTTTATTTTTGTGTTTTAAATTAGCTATAATATATTAGAATATCCACCCCCCACTTGTATTTTAAAAGAAAGAAAAGTTGTATACATTAATATCCATTTTATACAATTCAATTTAATTAAAATTTTAACTAAATGATGAGTTCTCATAAAGGCAGAAAATGTAATGTGAAATATTTTTTCTAACCACCACCCTGATTCTAACCTTGTTCTTCTAACTCTTTGAAAATCCTACTTTTTAAGATATGCCAAAGGCACAAATAATAGGTGGATCAAGCTGTGCCGGAATGGATGCCGAGTCTGGTCTGTGGCAGAGTATTTCCTGTGAAGCTCAACTATCATACGTCTGCAAGAAACCATTAAATAATACTGTGGAGTTAACAGGTATCTTCCTCAGTTGCTTTACAAATAAATCTTAAAGCTGTGAGGTCAAGTGAAATCCATCTGAGATACTTATCTCCACCTTCCCTTCATCTGATACTGCCAATATAGGAAAGTATTTAATTTTTGACCCTATCATTAGATATTACCAACTGCATATGAAAAAATCTGAAGTTGAGGGAATGAAGAATATCAAGTAAAAATATGTATATGCCCATTAGATGGCAGAGGTATTTATTTTTCTTTTTTGGTACTGGGGATTGAACTCAGGGGCACTCTACCACTGAGACATATTCCCAGCCCTGTTTTGCATTTTATTTAGAGAACAGGGTCTCACTGAGTTGCTCAGCCCCTTGCCATTGCTGAGTCTGGCTTTAAACTCAAGATTCTCCTGTCTCAGTCTCCTGAGCCTCTGGGATTACAGGTATGCTTGCCACCACACCCAGCTGGGATATTCTTGATAGGAAATGTATTTCTGCTCACGGATCACTCTTGTTCCTCTAGAACAGTAGTTCTCAAATGTGGTGCCCAGACCAAGCACAATGGCATCACCTGTGCCATTAGAAATACAGATTGCCAGGGCTTGCTTACCCAGATTTACTGAATCAGAAACTGTAGGCATGGGGTCTAGGAATCTATGTTTTTGTTTTGTTTTGTTTTGTTTTTAAATATTTTTTAGTTTTAGTTGGACACAATATCTTTATTTATTTATCTTTATGTGGTGCTGAGGATTGAACCCTGGCCCTCACCCATGCTAGGCAAGCACTCTACCACTGAGCCATAACCCCAGCCCCTAGGAATCTGTGTTTTAAGAAGCCCTCCAGGTGACCCTGCATGCTCAAGTCTGAGAGCCACTGCTATGAGGACAGGCCTTATATATTGCATGCCTCTGTGAAAAATCAAGACCTGTGGACACAGGATACCCCCAGGCTCTCCCAGCCCCTGCCCCACAACACCCAGACCTCCTCTATCTTTCTATGCCGGGCTGGTTCTTTGGGTCTTTGAATTGAAAGAACCCAGTAAAATGAGAAGTGCAGGACAGAGTATCTACAATGATGGAATTGTTCAGGGAAGTGTGAGGAAAGAGGAGACCAGCTGAAGTTTTTGAGGAATGGAGGTTTGAGGAGTATTTACAAGAATAAAGAAGAGTACCTTGGATTGTTGAGCACCAGGCCCAGCATATACCTGAAATTTGATTAATTCTTCACTGAATGAGAAAAACTCAGATTCAAAACTGGGAGGGGGAAAAGGGAATTTTTAAGTGTCCTACTTTAAGGAATTATGTGGGAAGGGAAAAAAACAATCGAATTTCTTGTCATCCAAAAAGGAGCATTGAGCTATTTTTTTTTTGAGGGAAAAAAATACACTTCCTATCAAGAATATCCCAGCTGGGTGTGGTGGCAAGCATACCTGTAATCCTAGAGGCTCAGGAGACTGAGACAGGAGAATCTTGAGTTTAAAGCCAGACTCAGCAACGGCAAGGTGCTGAGCAACTCAGTGAGACCCTGTTCTCTAAATAAAATACAAAATAGGGCTGGGAATATGTCTCAGTGGTAGAGTGCCCCTGAGTTCAATCCCCAGTACCAAAAAAGAAATAAAGAATATAGGGAAATGTTTTAAGATAATAAGAGGAATGAATATTTATCTTCTGAGTTAATATAAGCCAAATATAATCCATACAACAAAAAGCATAATAGAGAAGCCAGCACAAATGAAAATAAGCTAGAGCAACTGATGTTAGATTAAGTAAATATCTCAAAGTAGCAATTATTAAGTAAATCATGATGTTTTCACATGATTGAATAATATACATTCATTATAACTGTGCCAGCAGGAAATAGAAAAAGCAGAACAAAATGATATGCCTACTTATCATTTTAATCTTGTAAAAATATGTATTCATAGAGACAAAGACTAGAATATGAAAATGATTGTTTTAAGTTCAATTATGTGTGATTTTTCCATCTGTTCTTTTATAGTAACTGTAAAACACAGTAGTAATAAATGAACGCTATTGAGAACCTTAAAGTTAATTGAGTTATCTTGTAATTATGAGAGGCTAGTTGAACCTGAATTTTTATCCTTTAGTAAAAAACAAATCTCTTAAGATGCTGTGTTTTCTTGCAGTAAACCTTCCAAGTGGAAGGTGAAGTCTGAGTAACCAGCTACTTTCTAGTTTTGTTAACAAGGATAGAAGTATTTTGTATGGCTTTATACCTGACTCTTTTTCTCCAGAAAGACTAGACCTTTACTTGTGAGTTTTAGCACGGGCAAAACAAAGAATTGCGTTCTAAGGACCATTGGTCTAGCAGAGGGAGGAAAGAAGAGGTCCAGAGATGTCATTTGCTCTTTCCTTCCATTGCTACTGTCTCTTGGGTGTGAAGTGAGCACATGTCTCATTCTGTTCCTGAAATCTCTGCCTGTCCTTTGGTCAAAAGTGAGCTTTAATGCATATTCCCTTACTAAGCTGGCCATACAAGAAAAGAACGCTTGAGTTCATGCTAATCTTTACAACAGCAGAGACTGAAGGGAACCTAACAAATCCCAGAACCAGAAAAAGATTCAAGCAACTGGCTTAACCTACATCTTTCTTCTATCTTTTAGGACCAAGGGCAATATCTCCCTTGATTGTGTCTATACCCTTAAATAATCTATCCCCAGCCACACAGCATATTTCTGTCACATTACAGTCACATCATGTAATGGTAATAATGATTCATTATCTGAATCCCTGCAGGAATTCTTATGACACTAGGTATATATTAGGTACAACATAAATTCATATTACTCAAGGATCTGTCATCACATTGCCCAGTTTTCCAGAAGCCTCATGATTCAAAACAGAAAATTGTGTAATGTTGTTGATTCAAAATAGATATAGCTTTCCTGGAATATAAATTGCTGCTTTTCTCCCAGATGTTTGGACATATTCACATACCCGCTGTGAAGAAGGCTGGCTGCCAAATAATGGATTTTGCTATCTGCTGGTAAATGAAACTGGTTCCTGGGATGAGGCACATAAGAAATGCAAAGCCTTCAGTAGTGACCTAATCAGCATTCATTCTTTAGCAGATGTGGAGGTGGTTGTCACAAAATTCCATAATAGGAGTAAGTTGTTGTTTTTTTTTTTTAATACCCTATTTTAGAGGCTTAAACATTATAAAATATCCCTGCTTTCAGACTCTTGGTGAAAATGAAAGCTTATAATGACCTTGTCCACAGGCTTTTCTGTTGGATGGAACTGTGTTGTAGTCTGCACTGTCCAAGACACTAGCTACCAGCCAACATGGCTTTTGAGCGCTTGAAATGTAGCTAGGGAAACTGAGGAACTGAATTATTCTTTTTATTTACTTTTATTACATTTTGGTTTATATAGTCACATATGCCCTAGGGGCTACTAATTTGGCAGTAAAAGGTTGATTGAATAATCTGTCTCTTCTCATAAGCTAAATTCTATTTCATTCCCTCCAAAAATCTAAGTGATGATTATTTTACTTTTGTAATTTTTTGGAAGCTAATTTTTTGGTAGACACAACTATAACAGACTTCTGTTACCATGCCCTCTGCCTAGGATTCTCTAATAATAGTAGCTAGTAGGGCTGGGTTGTAGCTCAGTGGTAGAGCACTTGCCTCACACTGTGAGGCACTGGGCTCAATCCTCAGCAACACATAAAAATAAATAAAAGATATTGTATTCATCTACCTGCCTCATTGAAATTTTTTAAAAATATCTAATTTTTTAGTTAGAGTTGAACACAATATCTTTATTTTATTTACTTACTTTTATGTGGTGCTGAGGATCGAACCCAGGGCACGTGCTAGGCGACTGCTCTACCAGTGATCCACAACCCCAGCCCTGCCTCATTGAAATTTTAATAGGCTATTTAACAGTACCATAAAGGCTCTTAAAACTTATATCAGAATATAAAAATCAGTAGCAATATACATATTCAAGAATGTAGTTTATTAAAGCCAAACAAAACATTTTTTTTTTTTTAGATGCCAAAGAAGAAATATGGACGGGACTTAGGAACATCAATAGACCAACTCTGTTTCAGTGGTCAGATGGTACTGAAGTCACTCTAACATACTGGAATGAGAATGAGCCAAACATACCCTACAATAAGACTCCCAACTGTGTTTCCTGTTTAGGAAAGGTAGGAGACCTCTGTGGTGTCTTTATCGTCTTACTGTTATATGTAATAATAATAATATTAAGGTTCCTTTGATTATGGTATTTGTGTTTAAGCTAAGAAAATAAAAGGTGAGAGGTTTATAGACTATCTTTCTTGGTAAATAAAAGCAGTCAATCCACTTTCTGACAATGTCTGTTCTGACCTGAAGCAGATCTAGAGACTCTGTGCCAGAGTGGCACAGAATAACCCGCTGTCTCCCAGATCAGGGTCTCTATCAGCCTTTCTGCCATCAGTGTCATATTTGGCAGGTAGCCACAATTTAACCTGAAAAGTCCCATCTTTTTGTGTTCAGGACAAATTTCATATCAATTCTGGTTTGAGGATGACATGAAAAACACTTTTTTAATATTTTAATTTTAAGTAAAATTTCAAAAAAAAATTTAATATAATTTTATTTTAAAAGGACTAAACTTCTTCATAAAAACATCTTACTCCTGTGGATTGCCTAAATATTTATTGAACATACTTTAGTTAACCACTTAAAACAGACTGTGACTTCAGAAAGGATATACATAGCTCTGCATTTTTGTTTATATCACTTTCCTGCAGAAAACTGTGTAATTGATTATGACGTGTCACCCAGCCATCTAGAGAGACTTAAGTGGAAGCAATAAATGCTTTGTTCAGAAGTGTTTTAGTAGTAAAGATATATTTGGAAAGATGTCACATCTGGTACTCTATTTTAAAGAATATCCAAGATGTCTTTACAAGAGTATCAAAAATGGAAGTGAGGTGGCATTAGCAAAAGTGAACAGAAGGCATACCTAGACAGCATTCTGGTGTTCAAAACCAGTCCTCAGCACAACTCATCTGTTAAAGTCTAACTTCAAGAAAGCAAAGTAACTTGCTCAGTTAGGCAAAAGTAATTTTAGGTGGCATACTTGAAAGAGACAGTGTTGAAGTGTAGACTGAAGTAGACTTGAAAGAAACTTTTGATTCTAGAATTCTTGAAGACTAGCTCTTGGACCACCATCCTCATGTATCTGAGGAAACTGAGTCTGGGACTTAGCCGATGTGCCACGCAAATTGAACCTTGCACAGACTTCAGCCATGTCATAGGAAGGAAGAATAGAGTGCTGGAACTGTTTGTGGAGAAGTTCTTCTCACTTTTACTTCTAGGCCAAGTGTCCTTTGGTGGTTTTATTGTCAAGCCTTTAGGAAAATGAAACTCATCCACACTGTGACCAGAAGACAATGCTGAGAGATAAAAGGCTGAGAACCAAACCTTCTCTTTGTGGATTCAGTTCTAAATGTGTGGCAAATAATTTCTTTCACAAGCAAATATATTTCTCTCTCTCTTTGTTTTTAAAAGCTAGGTTACTGGAAAGTCCAATCATGTGAAGAGAAACTTAAATATATATGTAAGAAAAAAGGACAAAAAATGAATGACTCAAGATCTGATAAGATGTGTCCTCCAGATGAGGTATGTAAAATCCCTTAATTTTGCTTAAGCAGAATTACAACTTCTTGGTTAGAGATGGTAGTTGAGACCTTAACAATTTGGATTTGCAAAATAGAAGAGACAGTAGCTTCTGTTCATTTACATTACAGCAAGCCAGAAGACAGGAGTCATAACATATTGGTGTTCTCACACAATGAAACAAGACATTCTTTTGGGGTTTCTATAGAAATGTAAACAATTAGGGATATTGCTCAGTTGGTAGAGTGCTTGCCTCGAATGCCCAAGACACTGGGTTCAATCCCCAATGCCACAAAAAAATAAAAAGTGATTGATTACTATCCTTCATATTAATATCCTGGGCTGGGGCTGAGTGTCAGAGCAGCTACCTAGCATGTGTGAGGCACTGGGTTCAAGCCTTAGTACCACGTAAAAAAATAAATTAATTAATTAAATAAAGGCATTCTGTCTATATATAACTATAATTTTTTTTTAAATACTGATATCTTTACTTCTTCTACTGATATTATTCCTGTTAAAAAATGATTCAACTGCTGGGTGGGTAGCACACGCCTGTAATCCCAGCAGCTCTGGAGGCTGAGGCAGGAAAATCGCAAGTCCAAAGCCAGCGTCAGCAAAAGTGAGGTGATAAGTAACTCAGTGAGACCCTGTCTCTAAATAAAATACAAAGTAGAACTGGGGATGTCGTGTCCCTGAGTTCAAAAATAATAATAATCCAACCAACAATTTTTTTTTCTGTTTTACCCCTCTCCTATAGAGAGATGGCCTTTATTGGTAAAGCTCTGACAAATGAACTGGTCTCCGTCTTTTATTTCTTGTTTACCCATCTCTCGTTCCTTGCTTTTCCTTCAGTAACAGTGTCCACTTTATGCTGAGGATAGCCCTTGCTGCTCTGCCACTGAGACTTATTTTTAAAAATCCAACAATTGTTTTATGGTAGGCCAGGCCCTAGGGGTAAAGAGGATTATGCCACACCTTCTGTTTGGCACAGTCTTACAGAGGTCATTTATGAAGTTGCAAGCCACCCTCATCGTGTATGACTTCACTAGCCATGTCCTCGGTTTGCACAACTTGTAAATGTTATCAATATAGCAGAACTTGATTGTCAGAGGGGGACACCATCAAGTCCAGGAAACAATGTGATGCTATTTCTCCTCTGATTTAGGGCTGGAAGAGACATGGAGAAACCTGTTACAAGATTTACACCGATGAGGTCCCTTTTGGAACAAACTGCAATCTGACTATCACTAACAGGTGTGACCATCAGTAAACCTGTACTAGAAAACTTCTAACTCTGAGTTCTTATATTAAACAATCTGCCTGAGAAAATGAGGCATCTTTAATTCAGTGATTGTGAAACATTTGCCAAAGTGGTTCTTCTTTTATAGATTTGAGCAAGAATACCTAAATGATATGATGAAAAAGTATGATAAGTCTCTCAGAAAATACTTCTGGACTGGCCTGAGAGATGTAGACTCCCGTGGAGAATACAGTTGGGCAACTGCTGGTGGAATAAAGCAAGCTGTGACATTTTCCAACTGGAATTTTCTTGAGCCAGGTAAGTGTCTGAGCCTGAAAAGGAGTAGAATCAGTGAGTAGTGAAATAGCATCCCTCCCAAGTGTTCTTCATTTGTGTTTGGAACGTGAGGGGATTGATGATCTCAGAACCGGCGACTATGAAATGATCCAATGAAAGAAGTAAGAAAACTCAGGTCTCCAAAACCATCATCTAACAACTCAGAGATAGAACCACTAGTGTGAGGGTTTTGTTTTTGTTTTTGTACCTTTTCTATGTAAGATTCAAACAGAATCCAGAAGCATCATTGTGAAGCACTTCCCATTTTCATCTCTTTGCTTAACTTCACTCTCCAAAACTGAATGTTTATTTCTGTTATTCTTAGAGAGTAAGAATAAAGAAGAGACTATATTGTACATAGTTTTTATTTTTATTTTTTAATTCTAATTTGTTGTATATAACAGAAGAACACATAACAATTCATACTACACATATAGATCATAATTTTTCTTATTTCTGGTTGTATACAAAGTATATTCAAACCATTCATGTCTTCGTACATGTACTTAAGGTAATGATGTCCACTTCATTCCACCATCTTTTTTACACCCCTTGCCCCCTCCCTTTCCCTCCCTCCCCTTTGCCTTTTCTAGAGTTTGTCTAATCTTCCCATACTTCCCATCCCAACCCGACTATGAATTAGCCTCCTTATATCAGAGAAAACATTTGGCATTTGTTTTTTGGGGATTGGTTAACTTCTCTTATATTCTCCAACTCCATCCATTTACCTGCAAATGCCATGATTTTATCCTCTTTTATTGCTGAGTAATATTCCATTGTGTATGTATATGTATGTATGT